GGGGGGGGGGGGCAGCCGGTAGGGCCAGGGTGGGCTCGTCGCAAGGACTCCCTCCGCCTCCCCAACCTTTGCATTTGGGCGAGGAATGAAACGCCTCGGTTCCGATCGGGCCCAGTTGCCAGGCTCTGCCCCAGAGGCCTCCCAACGGCCCCCCTTTAAGACTTCAACCCCCCCAGAGGCAGAGGATTCTGGGAGTTGAAGGGGCCTCTGGGGTAAAACCCTTCAGATCCTGGCACCCAGACGGGAGAACGGGAGACGGTCTGAAGGTCCGAGACCCTCTGGATATGGGGGGGGGGGCTCCAGGCAGGGATGGGTAGCCCAGCCCCACGTGGGGCTGCCCCTCTCCGGGGCCTCCGCCCCCCTCACCTGGCTCGAAGAGAAGGATGGCTCCCTGCAGGGGCTCCTGGGGAGGGTCCGGGGGTCCCAGCACCTGCGGGGAAGAGCCAGCAGGTCATCTCAGCAGCTGCCGCAGCCGCAGCGGGGGGAGGGCTCCCCATGGGGGGGGTGGGGGGTCTCTGGCCACCCACGGGCGGGCTGGGCGCGGGGGCCACCTTTCCCCGGCCGTGCTGCTGCTTCAGCTCCTCGATCTGCTGGAGGGTGAAGAAGGGGCGGCGGCGGCAGGGACCCTCCTCCGGGTGGAGCTGCCCCCACTCCTCAAACTTCTCTGGGTGGCGGCACTGGACGTGGAGGCGGAGGTTCTTCTTGTGCTTGGTGGAGAAGTGGCAGAGGTCGCAGGCGAAGGGCTTCCCGCCTGCAGAGGCCACCGAGGGTCAGCAGAAGGCCCTCCTCCCCCCCCGCCAGCCCCCCAATCCGCACGAGGCGGCACAACCGAAACCCCCCCCCAAAGGCGCGGCTGTGCCCGCTCCCAAAGGCTGACGGATGGCACGGAGGCAGCCAAGCCCTCCCCCAGGGGTCCGGGCTACAAGGCGGCTGAGATCACTGCGCAGCCCCCTCCTCTCCTCCCCCGCTTCGGAGGGCTGGGGGATCGGGCCCTGCCCCCTGGAAAGGCCAAGGCGGGTATTCCAGAAAGCCGCAAAGAGCTGCCCCTTTGCCCGGACAATGCCCTCTCCCCCTTATGCCACCCCAGCTTCCTCTCAGGCCTTTTAGCAGCCGGAAGTGGCCAGGATGCTGGCAGTCCGAGGGCACCTAAATTTATTATCGTTATTATTATTGGTGCAGCCAAAGTCGCAGCTCAGCCTCCTACGGGCACCGCAGGCGGCCAGGAAGGCAGGCGGGTGTGGCCAGGAGGGGCTGGGGGCTCAAGGACTGTTTGGAGGAGGGGGGGGCGCGAGTAAAATGCCGTTGTCTCCCCCCAAGGCCCCCGCTGCAGAGGGCCACAAACCAGGGGCCCCAGGTGCCCTCCCCGGCGGCCTCCCCCTCCCCCCCCGGCGCACCTGTGTGCTTGACCGCCATGTGGGAGAGCAGGAAGTCCTCGCGGACGGTGGCGTAAGGGCAGAGGCTGCAGCGGAAGGGCCGGTCGTTGATGTGCAGGAGCTGGTGGTTCAACAGCAGCTTCTTGTCCTCGCAGACGTGGTCGCAGAACTCGCACTTGAACCTGCCCGGAGAAGGGGTGGGGGCCGTGACCGGGAGCCGTGACCGGCAGCCCAGAAGAGCCGGAAGGGTCCGGAAGGGCCCGCCGGCCACGCTCACCTGTGGTTGGCCACTGCCTGGATGTGGGTCAGCAGGTGCATCTTGAAGGTGTAGCGCTTCTTGAAGGACTTCCCGCACTGCGAGAGAGGGAGGGGGAGGGGCCAGGTGGGGGGGTCACCTGCAGGGCCAGGCTTCGGGCCGCCAAGCCCCCCCCCCGGGCCCCCCCCCCCCCCGCACCCACCTTGTCGCACATATGGGGCTTCTCGGAGCTGTGCGTCTTCATGTGCTGGGTGAGCCGTTTCTGCATGGGGTAGACTCGGCCGCAGACCGGGCAGGGGAAGGAGCTCCGCTTGGGCGCCTGGGGGGGGAAGGGAAGGGGGGGGAGAGGCTCCACTGGGTCAGTCCCCCGCTGGGCAGGGAGGAGCTGCTCCGCAGGGGACCCCCCGCTGCTCCCAGCCCGGCCAGAAACAAGAGCCGAGCTGGTGCCCCCCACTCCTCCCCAAACCAGGGAAGCAGGCAGTGGGGGTGGGGGTGGCGCAGGGGAGACCCCAAGCCAGGAGACCCTCCGTGCTCACCGGGTCGACCCGCTTCTTCCTGGAACAGAGCAGAGGAGGGAAAGGGGCTCCGTAAGGAAACCGGAACACGGAAGGGAGGATCCCCCCCCCACCCCCGCACAGAGTCTTCAGGGGCCACGAGGGGGTCCAGGGAGCCCCCCCCCTGCTCCCCTCGGCACTCACTTGTCCCGGTTGTGCACCGCAGAGTGGCGGATGACGTCCTTCTTGTACACACTGGTGTAGTCACACTCCTCGCACTGGTAGGGCTTCCGGCCCGCGTGGTTGAACATGTGCTCCTGCAGGAGGCGAAGGAGGGAGGGAGGGAGGGAGGCTGGCGGCTCCTGGCCACGGAGGCTCCCCTGCTGGGAGGGGGGCTAAACTGGGGGGGGGGGGGGGGGGGGCTCACCTTCAGAGAGGACCAACGCCGGGAACGGTAGCTGCACTGTAGGCAGCGGAAGAGCTGGGGGTCCCCGGCCTCGTGGGAGTTGACGTGGAAGCGCAGGTCCTCGTGGGTCAGGAAGCGGGAGCCACAGATCCGGCACAGGTAGGGCCGCATCAAGGGCTTGGCAGACTTGTAGCAGTACCTGTGGGGAGGCACGGAGGTGGGGGGGTTGTCACCTGGGGGCCCCAGCCAGAGGCCTCCTCCTGGAGCGCAGCCCCACCTCTCACCTTCGCCCCATGTACTTGCGGTATTTCTTGCCCAGGAACCGGTGGGAGGGCCGGCCTCGTCGGCGGGGAGGCGCTTCGGGCTGGCTGTGGGAGGACGGGTCCCTGTTCTCCGAGTCCGACTGGTTCACCGCCGTTTCTGCCAGGCGAGCGGTGCCATCAGGGACGGAGGCCGAGGAGCTGGATGGCTCGGAGCTCTGCGGCTCCCCCTGCGGGACACACGGCGAGGAGATGGCCGGCTCCGCTTCAGCGCCTGGCGAGGGAGGAATCCAGCAATGGGAGCCCCGCAGAGCCCTGGATCTCCAAGCCGCCGCCGCGAAGGCCTGCGGGAAACCCCCGGGAAAGCTCCGCCTGGGAGGCCCTCCGCAGATCCTGTCTTGGGCAGGGGGAGCTGCCCAGTTGCCCAGGGGGACCCCCGCTCTGGCACAAGAGGACGGCATGGACAGCAAAGGGGCTGCGGGGGCCCGAGAGCCGCCGTCCTGAGTGGCAACAAGGCTCGGAAGTGACCGGCAAAGCCTCACTGGCTGCGTCTACGTGGACAGAGCAGGAACCGCGCAAGGGGACCCGCCAAAAAGGGGAAGGGTCCAATCCTTTGACAGCAGCAGGCGGTCTCCCTCCCGAGGGGAGGCCCTCCGTGGCTCTCCTCCCAAGCGGCACCTGCCTGCCTGCCTGCCTGCCGGGGCCACGCTCAGGAGGCTGCAATCCCAGCGCAGCCTTCAGCCCGGAGGGCGGCCCCAGGGGCCCGAGGAGGACGGGCCAGAAGCCCCGAAACTGCCCCTCCTTACCCTCCGTCCCGGGGGGCCCTTCCAGGCGGGGGAACTTGCGGGGCCTCCCGGGCCGCCGGCGCAGTCCCTGCTTGGGGGAGGGGGGCAGCGGGCAGCGGCTGATCCTGGGGGGGCGTCCTCGGGGCTCATCCTCCGCCGGGTTGTAGTCGCTGTCCACTGCAGGAGGAGCAGAGGGGGGGCGTCAGAGACCAGCAGCAGCAAAGCCCCCCCCCCCCTTGCCTCCCAGCGCCCCCTTACCTTCGGGGTCATCGATGGCTCCGGCGTCCACGACGTCCTCTTCCTCCTCCTCCTCCTGCTGCTGCTGCTGCTCCTGCTCCTCCTGCGGGGGCTTGGCCTCTGGCACCGCAGCCCCCTTCCGCGGGCGGCCCCTCTTGGGCCCGGGGGTGCCGCCTGCAGGCAGAAGAGCCGCTCAGCCGCCAGCGGGGCCCCGGCTGCCCCAACCCCGCGCCCGCCGCCCCGCCCCCGCCTACCTGGCTGCAGGTGCCGCCGCTGCACGTGGCGCAGGAGCGTCTGGCGGGCGGCGCTGCGGAAGGGGCACCGCCGGCACTGGAAGCGCTGCACCACCACCACCTCCACCAGCGCCTCGGCCGACGCTCGCCAGCCGCCCCCGCCTGCCGGGGGGAGAGAGAGAGAGAGGGGGGGGGGGAGGGAGGGAGGAGGCGGCCGTCGCTCCCCGAGAGCCCCACGACCCCCGCCCGGGCTGGGGGGAAGGGGGGAGGCTCACCCGGG